CAATAGTTGTAGAAATGCTTGGAGTTATTGGGTTTTCTGTAGTCGTGTCAACAGTAGAAGAATCTGTTGTAGTATTTATGGGTTCTTCAGTAGTAGTAGTGATCGGCTCTTCAGTAGTAGTAGTGATCGGCTCTTCAGTAGTAGTAGTGATCGGCTCTCCAGTAGTCGTGTCGACAGTAGAAGAATCTGTTGTTGTAGTTATGGGTTCTTCAGTAGTAGTAGTGATCGGCTCTTCTGTAGTCGTGTCGACAGTAGAAGAATCTGTTGTAGTATTTGTGGGTTCTTCAGTAGTAGTAGTGATCGGCTCTCCAGTAGTCGTGTCGACAGTAGAAGAATCTGTTGTAGTAGTTATGGGTTCTTCAGTAGTAGTAGTGATCGGCTCTTCAGTAGTCGTGTCGACAGTAGAAGAATCTGTTGTTGTAATTATGGGTTCTTCAGTAGTAGTAGTGATCGGCTCTTCAGTAGTAGTAGTGATCGGCTCTCCAGTAGTCGTGTCGACAGTAGAAGAATCTGTTGTAGTATTTATGGGTTCTTCAGTTGTAGTAGTGATCGGCTCTTCTGTAGTCGTGTCGACAGTAGAAGAATCTGTTGTTGTATTTATGGGTTCTTCAGTAGTAGTAGTAGTGATCGGCTCTTCAGTAGTCGTGTCGACAGTAGAAGAATCTGTTGTTGTAATTATAGGTTCTTCAGTAGTAGTAGTAGTGATCGGCTCTTCAGGAGTCGTGTCGACAGTAGAAGAATCTGTTGTTGTAGTTATGGGTTCTTCAGTAGTAGTAGTGATCGGCTCTCCAGTAGTCGTGTCGACAGTAGAAGAATCTGTTGTTGTATTTATGGGTTCTTCAGTAGTAGTAGTAGTGATCGGCTCTTCAGTAGTCGTGTCGACAGTAGAAGAATCTGTTGTTGTAATTATAGGTTCTTCAGTAGTAGTAGTAGTGATCGGCTCTTCAGGAGTCGTGTCGACAGTAGAAGAATCTGTTGTTGTAGTTATGGGTTCTTCAGTAGTAGTAGTGATCGGCTCTTCAGTAGTCGTGTCGACAGTAGAAGAATCTGTTGTTGTAGTTATGGGTTCTTCAGTAGTAGTAGTGATCGGCTCTTCAGTAGTCGTGTCGATAGTAGAAGAATAATTAATTGTAAATGAATTTTTTCTAACAATTATTCTGTGATTTATATTATTTATTTTAAACATGGTTGAATTTTTATTAACATTATTAATTTTTTCATAAATATCTATATTATTTGTTTTATAATTATTGTTAATATCAGAATTTCTCATTCTATATATTTTTGATTTATTAAATAAATTAATTTCAAAAGTGTTTGAATATGTATTGCCAATAAACTAGAAGTTGTACAAAAAATTTAAATTATTAAATATAATTTATCAATTCATGTTATATTATAAATAATGGCAAATATACTACATATCTCCATTATTTCTCAGTTGAATTACTTTTAATTGGTTAAGTTTTATGATTGCTTAAATTTTACTTACTTTATTATTAATTGTGTTTGGTAAATAACTTATTAATAAAAATATCCATAAAATATTAGCCATTACTAATTTAAACATGATTGTATTAATTTAATTTTAATAAATTTTTAGCTACTCAACTTTACACACTAGGTAAATTAATTAAAATGATTGCAAATCAAAATTATACATTCTGTAAATATTTTTATTTTATCTTAAACATTATTTCATTATGCAACATGTTTAATTATAAGTTTGTACGGATTTATTTTAATTGATTAACATTGTTTTATATGATTTGTTATGGTGTAATTATGATTTTTATCACAAGACATTACAGATTTAACTCTACTAACTATTGCGTCCTATAATAAAAATAATTTTATCAATGTAATTTAACTAATTTGCAACCATAAAGTTTATTAGTGTTTACATTGAATACACGACATTAATTACAAATGGTACCGCTCAAATTATAATGAAATATATTTTTAATCATATAATTCACCATGGTATTACGTGTTTAGAATCTCGGTGCCATAATTATATCACGTAACAATAATACTTTAATTGGTAAATGAATGAATGTAATTATGTTTAATTATGGTTGATGCAATAAATATAAATTATTACGCTACAATTATAAAGTATAGCTAAATAGGAGATCCGTATAAGTATATTAATAATAATATTAATAATGAATTACTTATAACTTAAGTTTTTGCAACGTAAAAACTTTATTACCCTGATTCTTAATTAGTGATTCATGTTAATATGGTTATATTTATGTTTCAATTTAACCGATTCTATGATTAATTAAACATGCACCAAAACCTATGACCCAATAAGTAGAGTTTAGTTTATTAAGATTTTTTGCGATACACGTTTACAGACAACTGTAAATAAATAATAATAATAATTTAAATACAATCGATAAAATTTAAGATATTTTTATTTTGGAGAACTGATGGAGAAAGAAACTAAAATTATGCCTTTTTTATTCACTATTTGTATATCAAAGTATATTTCATGATTTGCATACATACTAATAAGTCTGCTGTTAGTTGCAACTTGAAAAGCAGTTTCAACAAATCAAATCATTTAAATTAACTTGTTTGTTTTACCTAATCACAAGCCTATCATATATTATAACATTAAATTAATATAAAAATAAGAAAATATAATTTGTTTGTCATGATTAGTTATGAAATTTTTATATTTTATTTTAACTACATCACGATACGTGCGATTTGTCTCTTTAATTTGAGCTTATCACTAATTTAAGTTTAACTGTTAATGTTATATTACCTTTAAAATACCAATCGCAAAGTATATTTTTAACTAATATTTAATTAAAATGAAGTTAATAATTATTATTATGGGTATATTGTTGTTAGATTCATTCTCTGTTGCATTTAATTGGTTTACAAATGAAGATAAAGAAGGTAATTAACATAATAATAAGTATCAAGCTTGTTAATTCTATTATGCAATTAATTTAAAATAATTAAAAATTATATTTTTGAAATAATGTACATGTATCCTTATTAAAATATTTATTATGTAAACTTGGTCTATAATTATAAAATTTGAATTAAAAATACTATATTTAATTTATTTGATTTTAGAGCCAGCACCTATTGTTGAAAGTGTAAATGATATTGAGCATTATCACGACATTATTGGTCATGGTGAAATAAATTGACTTATTTGAAAAAAATTGCTTAATTATAAAATAATTTTAAACATAAAGAAACATCTGCCGTGGTCAACACGACAATGACCTGGCTCACTGACATACCATGCGTTAGCGGCGATAACAGCAAGGTCAATATCACGGCCATGTACACAATGGGTCAGTATTATGGCGGGAGAACGTGTAACGGTTATATTGCCCATGCTGGTCATATTGAATTTATGGCTGTCCAACAAAATCCAAACATGGTAACACAACTTGTCATTGACAAAAACAATCGTGTTGAATTTAACGTAAACGGTAAATAATAAAATTTAATTAATGTAAATATAGTTGAATGTTATGACCAGGAGTGAGCAAATAGGCTGAAAAGCTAGACTGGCAACACTATGCCCCATAGAAAATACATTATAGCAATGCCCGCCAATGCCCAATTATTCCCGCTTTGCTCTTCTATGGTTATGACTGTTAATATTTCTACAATGTCAGTCTACAAATATTTTGTATATTAATTATATAGATGCAGTCGGACTGCGCCTCACATACACTATACTTACACTCATATCCTAATCACTGCTTATCTGATTCCTATAAACTCTATTCATGTATATATTATATCCAATACTCTGTATATTGTAAACTCTATGGAATGTTATACTATTTTATACTTATGGAAACATTGTAAACTTTAGATATATTAACTCATACTATGTGTCGAGCAGAGGGTATATAAGACCTGCCTCTGCTCTCCATTAAGTCAGTCTATGCTGGGCTCTTGGAGAGCTCAGGTCTGCTAGACTCAGACCATAGCCATTATCATTACATTATAAATAAATAGTTGTTTTAGTTATAAACTGGTTGACTATTGGATTCTTGACAGCGGACNCATAGCCATTATCATTACATTATAAATAAATAGTTGTTTTAGTTATAAACTGGTTGACTATTGGATTCTTGACAGCGGACTGTGTTTGGCTTAGCCCAATACACCCTCAACACAGCGCCCGACTGCATAGATATTAATTTTAATATTATTGCTGAACTGGTTAACCATTTTTCAATTATCCAATTATTAAAATTTAATGTATAATTTAATTATAATTATCTAGGTGATAGCTTAACTTACAATAGCGGAGTGGTCAGCGGTGGAAAGTGCGCCGGGTCAAATTTCATTGAGTACACCATCTATAAAGGTTATCCGGCCAATGGGTGTCAAACTAGTACAGGTATTAACAGCCACTCAGCCCTATACCGGCTCATTGAGATCAGGGGCGTTTGCGATGTCACGTGTCGCGTTAATCAGCATGCCGGGATTGGCCTAGTTTCAGTATTTTATAGTTCACCATTCAATACAAAAGGATTAGTTTAATTTACATTTAATAATAAATTAAATAAACATTTATAGAATTTATTATAACATAATATCTTTTGTTTATGATAGTTTAAAATAAATTCTTATACATTTGATATAATTAAATTACAGAATTACTAAGTTTAATTTAATAAAATTACACAGAATAATAGATAAAATGTTATTTATACAATTTAAATTACTAAACTATAATTTATAAATTACATTACTTTTAAATAACTGATTAATTGAATATGATTTTTAAAATGGGCTGAAACTCTGAGACCGATTATTTTGCATTTTAAATTTTGAACCATTGATATTGGCTATAACCTAGTTACCGCAATTTTTAAATTTAATTGTGGTCAGAAATGGTAGCATGAGCAGATAATTAATAAATAGTTCAAATAAACATGTAATTTCTATTTAATGTTGCTTTATTTGTTCACACAATAAAATAAAAAATATGCACATAATTTGCGTTAATTTGGCACAACGGTACCGTCGTAACTAATTGTTTGACCTAGCACCTGGCCATTGACCGACTGAATCACCTTGATAATACCGGCCACACTAGTCTCCACGTCCAGCGGGGCTGTGGGTCCGCCGCCAGCGGTTCTCACGTGACCCGGATTACAGCCAATCACGTAAATACTGTACGGTTTGAGGTCTATGGACAGGCACTTTGTGATCATGTTTAGGGCAGCCCTACTCGTACGGGTGGGGTATATAATGCCCGCTCCTCCCTGTCCTGTCATCGTAATAGAGCCCAATCGGGACGTCATGTTTACCACCAGTGTTTTGCGTTGAAGTGCCGCTACCTATGACCCGATAAGTAGGGTTAGTTTATTAAGATTTTTTTTACATATTTACAGAAAACTGTAAATTAATAATAATTATAAATTAAATATAATTTAAACAATTTTAAGTATTTTAATTTTGGATTATCCGGAATGTTTTGTACATTATTAATTAATCAAAATAATTTTTAACTAGTAACTTATATGGTTTAAGCATGTCAATTCATATGTATTTATTAAATAACTAGTAATTATTAATTTTTAGTATATTTATTTTTAACTTTATTAAAGCTGTAATTTTATACATGACCTATTCTAAAATCAACTAAATTTGTGTACATTATTGTCATTTGGCAAAACCAACAAACCTCTAGTTATTTTTACAAACAATATAAAAATCAATTATTTTATTTTAAAAAACACAATGCAATCATTTCATAATTACTAATGAACGTTTTGTTGTGCAGCTAAGTTTTGGTTAATCATCAGTCAATTTTTAAATTTTATTTAATTTTTTATATAACTGTAAATTTATACATATTTTTAAAAACTATAATTTAAAATATTTAATATATAATAAATTGGTTTGGACCTCCTTCTTCGATCATTATTTTTAATATAATACCACGATCATTATCATAGTATTTTAATAAAATATTTAAATATTTAATTATATTATTTATTAACAAACCTTAAGCACGGGTAGCAGAGCTTTAGTCAACATTAGGCCAGTCAACGAGTTAAGCTTAAAATTATCAACCATATCAGCAGGGTTAACATCATCGAGATTTTTTGCTAGTCTAGCTCCGGCATTATTAATCAATGTGTCCAATCCTTTTACGCCTACAATGCGTTTAACTCGGTCGGCAAAAGTGGCGTAACTGTCATAGTTGGTAACTTCTAATTGTAGCAAGTGTAATTTATTAGGATGTTTTAGACGTAGCACTTCCAGGTCGTTGTTGTTGATCTGTCGGGTGGTGGCGATCACACATCGAGGTGGCACCGGTGCGTCCAATAGTTGTCGCACCAGCTCTAACCCGATGCCCCGGTTGGCCCCCGTGATTAATACTGACTCAAGACTCATGGTTAGTTTATATTTTAAATTATAGTTATAGTTTAATTTATATATTTAATTTATAATTAAAATATTTGACAATTAATAGAAATATTTTAATACACTTTAATGTTTCACCAAGCACTTAATAAATACCATATAACATTTGTTTACCGATTTAGTTAGTATATAAATAGATAAATGTCATGGTGTTTACTGATTGTATAAATCACCAGGATGAGATTAAATAATTGACTTTGATTGTTTCAAAACTGTACACAATTGTTCAGTTAGTTATAAATTATTTTATAATTAGTACTATTCTTTATGACTTAAAAATGCACTTGATAAAATAAAATATCTAAAAATTTATATTCTAGGATTATTCTGCGTCAAATAAAATAATATTACGTCAAATCAATCTAGCATAAATAAATATTGTTTGCACAGCGGTGTGAACTGGCAAATTATAATGTTTATTGTTATAACATATTACCTGTTATTCAATAATGTTTGATTTAAAATTTTGCCATTATGAATTGTAATATTATAATATTTATTAATTTTAGACACAATAAACATAAATTAGCAAAATTATTTTGGGAACACTTTGAGAGCTACTTAATTTTAAAAAAGCATTTAATTAAAATGAATATATCTTAAGATAAATAACAATAATCACAATTATCTCATAGATGTATAATATTATTTAAATAGTAAATTTTTGTAAGTTTATTATTCAGATTCTTTGATTACTATTTATGTGTCCGCATATTTAATGGTAACTTTAATTATAGTATTTAATAAATATTAAAAATTATTCTATTACTATTTATATTTTACATAAAAAACTAACAATTATTTTGCTTGTTCATTTGTATCATAATTTAATTAATTTCAAGTTTACTACTTGCAAGATTGAATTAATTTTTGCTATTCATGCAAGTTACTACTGCTGTATTCATGCCATTCAAAATGCAATATTAAAGTTGAATCATGATAAACTATTTTGAAAATAATTTAAGCACTGACTAAGTTTAATAATAATTAAATATAATTTTGTTTAAAACATTAATTATTACATTATAATTTAATTTATGATGCATATAACTTCTAGTGTATTTTGTATCTCAGTAATTTTATTGTGTATTATAGTGAATTTATTATTCAACTCAAAGCAGATTACTGATCAGGGTAAATGAATTAAATTAATTAAAATAACAAATAATTTTATTTACAAATACCATAGTTATTTTTGTTCATATTTGACAGATGTAACAATAATACAAACTAACGTTACTTCAAGTGACAAACAAACTCGTCTAAAGACATTAAAGCAAATTATTGGTCATGGTAACTAAATTTTAATGTTTATACTAACATGGATTGATGAAGTTAAAATTAAAATCTATCTAGAGCAAATAAATGCCACCTTGACGAATACAACCTATCTATCAAATCTACCGTGTCGTACCAGCCCGGGAAGTGCTCTAAATATTACTGCCATTTACATAATGGGCATCTCGTTTAATGGACCAAGGGCGTGCAATGGTTACTCTAGGTACAAACACTCATTAACGTTTTTGGGTGTCCATGATAATACCACCATGGTCACACCTATTACAAGCGAAAACAATACGCGTGTGGCCTTCAGTATTAACGGTATCTAAAATTAACTAGCTATTTATTAAACAAGCTAGTTATTCAAATTTGTTAATTTATAACGTGTTAAAAATATAACTTAAGTAATATAAGTTAATTTATTTTTATAATATTTATTACTAACCGAAATTATCGTATCAAGGTGATAAACTGACACATAATAGTGGCTTGGTAACTGTTGGACCATGCGCAGGTTCTACATTTACTGAATATTCAGTTCACCGTGGTTATCCAACCAACGGATGCCACAATGGTGAGGGTATTTTGACCAGAATTGCACTATATCGATTACTGGAAATACGTGGCTCGTGTCATATCACGTGCACAGCTGATGATGATGGTGGATTTGTCTATGTTACGTACAATCCTATAGTTAATTAAACTGATATTTATTATATACGCATATTTAATTATATAAGACATTTTACGCATTATTTTCCAAATTTACCAAAACATTTACACAATACAATAAATTGGGAAGTAACCATGATTTTTACTGGGCAAATAAAATAGTTATTTTATAAAAAAAAGATCCCATATATTAAATTTATAATTAGTAATTAATTTATTTATTAACAAACTTAATCATATGTAGTGAAACTCTTATAAATATAAACCACCATCACAGCATTTAACGTAAAAGTATATTTATGTTAAATTCATAATGATTTTATTAAACTGTAAATCAATTTCATATTTATAATAAATAAACTTTAAACCATACAAGATATATTTAATTTGGTGGTCTTGTCATTTGTGTAATAATTTATTATATCAACCAATAAATACTTGTAAATGTATTTTTTAATTCCCTAATTACCAAAAATTCTTAATTTAAGTTTGCTTGTATTTTAACAAATTTTAAAAATATGTTGTTGGAAATTGTTAATAAACTTATTGTTTGAAGTAAAATTTAAAACTGATCATGAAAAAATAATTATTAATATAATAGGTTTTTATGAACTGTAAATATGTTAAAATTATGCATTAATAATAAACATAATATTTATTGTAAAAATAATTTGGAATATAAGAGCCTCAATATGTCTCATTTCTAAAATACAATTAGTTAAAATTGGGTAATATGTATTACATAATTTGGATAAACTAAATTGTTTTAAAAATTTATATATTAATAATTTGGTCATTGTGAATTAAAGTCGGAAAATTTTTTTATTGAAGAATGTTAATAAAAATTTGACAAAATTGTTTATAAGATTAATTGGACCAAAAAATATTTTTATCAAGACAAAATTTATTGACCAAAATTTTTAAAATTGGAATTTAATGGAGAAGACTATTATATCTAGATTTGCTTGATTATGCTTTACCCTGGTTGTTTATCGCCGTGTCAAGTGTGACAGGAGAAGCGGAGTCTAGGGAGCACGTGGTCTGACATTTATCGCCATAGATTGAGGCACTCATATGTGTCACACGAAGTGTATTCAGTGAATACTCAGCACAGGCTAACGGGTTGTCCGATGTGTAGACGGTCTGCACGTATAATAAGTCCCCTTTGCATCGGCCAGAGGTTATGGGACCCAAATTCAACTCAAACATATTGCCTGATATATAATCAAAATTAGTTTGTATAAAATGTAAAATTAAAATAATTATTTGAATTATTAATAATGCTAACCATTGACTGATGAAACAACCTGGTTGCAATTTTCTACAGTCAAATCCTCTCCGAGTCCGTTAAAGTATGCGTTGAATATATACGGAATTTGTCTGAAGTGAAAGCCACTGCACGACAACTCCATGGGATGGGAGACAGCGTTCAGTGCTATACCCGTCAATTTGTTCACACCATTGGACACACATTTCATGTGTTTATTAACGGTAACAGTGGTGTTGACAAACGGGGTAAACGCTATTCGATAAAAAATTAATAATTAAAACATGTATTTAATTGCATAAATTAGGTTATAGGGAATAAAATAGTTTGAACATGTTTAAAACAATTAAATAGTTTGTACCTAGCAAATATTCCAAGTGATTGGGTTTTGTGGGATCCGATGGCCCGAACTCTTTCAAATCGACTTCCAATCGACGGACAGTTTGCTTATAGTCGACGGACACCGGGTGTCGACAGTCGGCCTGTAATAACTGATCAAGGTCCACTTTCATTGTCGTGGGCGTCGCACCTGTTACCGATGGGCCAGTAGCCACCGGTGGTTTTTGTTGGCATTGACCTCGGTAGTTAAACATGTCCAACAAGTGCAAGAAATTGCCAATTATACCACGTTTCTCAATACTCGCGCCATAGGCTACTTGAGCGGTTAGGCCTATTATTTGGGTTTATTTGTGTTGTTAATTATAATTATTTTATAGTAGCTAGTTATTTTTATTATAATAAAGTAACTTACATAATGCCAATGCAACCAATACTGAACACTTCATGTTTATAATAATTTATATAATTAATAAATTGTTATAATTTTATTGTAAAGTGTTTGATATAATTCTTGTGCTTATATACCACAAAAAATTACTTAAATTTTGTACCTGATTATTTTTTATATTTGATCATTTGTCCATTGATTAATTATATGACATAATTTTTAAAACATTTAACACATATACCAAAAATCTATGCACATTTTGTCTATTTGAGTTATTATGGTCATAAAACTAATCGTTCTTGATTGAATTTATTTATATAATTTTAGTTAAATACATCTGGATCCTTGTGATTAATTATAGCATTTAAATTGTACTAATTTTTTTCAACATCATTATGCAATGATGATTAATTGTTAAAATTAACATGAGTACTTTAACTTTTAAATCAGCATTGAATAATTTATTAAAAAATTTATATAGTTGGATTTGTTCAAATGGTTCACCGCTGGCCATAATTCATCTTTGATTATGATCTTAATGTAATTACACTTATTTTAAAAATTAACAATATATTATACAAATGAATTTATAAATATAATATAACAACATTTTTATTTTGCAAATTATAATAATGTTTTATAATATAATCATAATATTATATTTACATACTACCAATTAATTAAAACTATTAGTAAAAAATAAAATTCTACAAAAAATAAAATTATATACGTTATTTATAAATTATATATTGTATAATTCCATAGTCTTAAAAACTGTATTGTTTTTTATAACAAAAAGTAATGTTATTAAAATTTAATTAAAAAATAATCAAGAGGTATGGATTGCGAAATGGATTGATTTTTGCAACAATTTATTTATTATTTATGTTTTTATTAAATATTATACACAGTATGGATCAAAAGGTTTAATTTAAAGGTGTTTAAATGCATATTATTTATATTAGTATCTTTTATTCACAATATAAATCGTAGGGTGATAATATTTTGTTAATATTGTATGTTTGCAAATTTGGTAAAGTTAAACTATTTATATTTAAACATGTAAGATAAACATCAAAGAACTTGGTCAAAGATATTGACTGTAAAAATGTTTGCAAAGATCTACAATAAGTGACATTAATTATATCTTGGTACATAATCTAATGCACTTATTATAGCGGTAATAAAATAATATCAGTCCCTAATCGAGTGATTTAAATATATTCATACGAAAATTGCAGTTTCAAACCCCGGCTAAAAATCCATATTACTTATCATAAGACAAATATTTTACAATATACAAAAAATAATAAATATATTATATTTCATAATTATAAATAAAATTTTCTTAAAATTCAATGCTTAAAAATTTTATTTTGAGAACAATTTAAATTGATAAAGAATTAGAATTAAAACATAATATATTTGTCAAATATATTTAAACAATTGATATGTATTTAAGCTTGTCCATGGTTGTTTATAGCGGGATTAATAGTAACGGAAGTTGCGGTATAGTCTGAGCACTCGGTCGGACAATTGTCGCCATAGATTCCGGCACTCATTTGGGTTATACGCAGAGTATTGAGTGTCTGTTGAGCACAGGCTAACGGGTTGTCCGATGTGTAGACGGTCTGCACGTATAGTAAGTCCCCTTTGCATCGGCCAGAGGTTATGGGACCCAAATTCAACTCAAACATATTGCCTGATATTTAATTAAAATTAGTTGAATAAGGTGTAAAATGTATTATTAAAATAATAATTTGAATTTTAATAATGCTAACCATTGACTGATGATACAACCTGGTTGCAATTTTCTACAGTCAAATCCTCTTGTTGTCCATTGAAGTCAGCGGCAAATGTATACGGGATTTGTCTGAAGTGAAAGCCACTGCACGACAACTCCATGGGATGGGAGACAGCATTGAGTGATAGACCAGTCAATTGGTTCACACCATTGGACACACATTTCACGCTTTTAGATACGGTTACAGTTGTGTTGACAAACGGAGTGAA